CACACACACACACACACACACACACACACACACACACACACACACACACACACATTGCTCTCAGGGTTTATCAGCACAAATGAACTCAGATAGGATTACGCTCAAGACTCATTTTCCCTTTAATGCAGAGCATTAGCTGCAAGTGTGTGCAGCAGCACATTCCACTCACCAGAGCCTCCTTGTCAGAGTTTTCGGTAATTTACTCAAGCGAAAAGGAATAAAAGACAAACGAGAATAAACGGCCGCCGCTTGCAGCAAGAATAAAGCGGACGTGGTAGGGAAGGGGGGGCCGCTGTGAACAGCAAAGAAACAAGTTGGTGAAAAGCAAAAAACAAAAGAACACAGTGTCACTGTGTACACATGACATTTCAACCGCCCCACATACATACAGTCCAGAGGACTGCTACTCCATCAAATAATAACGGTTAAAACTTAAAACTTTTTCCCCATCCACTTTTTCCTCTTTCATCATCTTTCAAATTCTTACGAGCTGATCGACCCTCCCCCTTCCTTCCACGTCAGTAACAGAAAGACAGATGATGATTGAAAGCCGCACCTACCTCCCTCTCTCTCTCCCTCCCTCTCTCCTAATTGCTACTACGAATTTGCCTTACAAAACCAATCACCTCCCACCTTCTCTACGTTTTTCCCGCTCCTCTTGATGGGTCTCTGACCGGCGCATCCCACAGTTTAACTTTCCGATCGGGACCACCCGTGGCAAGCACCATTGCATTGACTCCTTTCCCAGTGTTGTGTCGTTGCGGGGACCATTCCAAGCACGACACGTGTCCATCATGAGCGTTCTCTGCCGTGTCGATCACCTCCCCCGTCTCCATGTCCAGCCAACAAAGCGTACACCCGATCGTGCATGCCAAAATTCTGTCATCTGGAGAGAGCGCCAACTTGTCGAAGTAATGCACACCACCCTTCTGCTGATTAGCGTTTTCGGGAATGTCGAAAGTGTGCAAGCAGCGCGGATCCTCGCTCAACTCATATCTAACGTTGATGTTCCAAACTTTGATTTTCCCGTCCTTCGAAGCAGTAACCACCTTCTCCGAGTCGTGAGCAAAGCAGAGCCACGTGACGGCGCTCTTGTGCCCTTTCAGCTGCATCGCCCTGGCTACCTCCTTCACTTGTCCGTCCTTGGCCGTGCACACCTCCCAAATCTTCACATCGCCAGTGAAAGCAGCAGCCGCTAAGAATCGCCCGCTGGGAGACAGCGCTGCCATATGATTGCACAGTTGATTGGAGTCTACGGTCCCGACGCATCGCCCATCTGCAATCGTCCAGACTTTCACATCGGTCCCTTCAGAGCACGTGGCCACGATTACCCCGCCCTTGGCATGCTGCCCATGGGTCATCGAGGCTGCAGACAGTTTGATAATGGATCTATTATCATGCACTCGACGCTTTTCCCACTTCAACTCCGGCTCTGGGAGCTTGAAGTCGTCGCCCTTCCCCGCCGCCGCCGACACTGCTGTGCTTGCGGGCGCGTAGAGAGACAGCGAGGCACCGGACAAGATCTGCCCCGCCACTACCACCTCCGACGCGTTGCCCCCGACTGCCACGTCGACCGGCATTATCCCGACCGGTAGGTCAATTCTCAAAAACTTGAAGCTTTTGGCGGTTATGTCCGCAACCTTGAATACCCTAATCACTCTATCTGTACAGGCAGTCGCAAGATTACGCCCGTCGGGAGAGAAGTGCAACCCCGTGACCGCGTCCGTATGGCCCTTCACAGTGTTAAAGCAAAGGGGATGCCGATGCTGCTGCGCCTTCTCGGCGCCGCCGCCAGAGGCCTTCCAATGAGAATGCGAATGCGTTGGCGCCTTTTTCCTCGATCCCGCTGACGTGGCATGAGTGTTTTGCTTTCGCACGGGTTTGTCGTCATCGACACTGGTGGCCTTGGTCGAAGTCAACGACGACGACGACGACGACGGAGACGAAGCACCAGGAGGAAGACGGAACACAAACAGCACGACCAGCAAAACAAGTGTGACGGCTCCTACTGCAGCGGCCACAAACACAGGCGGATCCAGCCCGGCAATCACCATAGCCGGCGATCCCCCAGCAGCTCCTGCCATTCTTCCCCTCTACTCTTCCCCTCCCTCGTTCCTCTCCCACTCTCTGATCTGTTACACAACGCAAAAAGACACCGACCCCTTCAAAAATCCAAGTTCCCGTCCAGAGAAATGGCCCACCTTCGTCCTCACTGTTCCACCTATCAATCGATCGAACGAGTAACCAAGCTATCAATCAACAGATGCAGATCTGAACTGCAACAGAAGGAAGAGAGAGTGACGGACGGAGGGAGAGGGAGGGAGGGAGGGAGGGAGGGAGGGAGGGAGGGAATGATGCTGAGATTACCGAAGCGAGATTACCAATCAATGGACGTGGATCTCGATCGCCAACGAAAGACGAGGGAGGAAGACACACACACACACACACACACACACAGAGAGAGAGAGAGAGAGAGAGAGAGAGAGAGAGAGAGAGAGAGAGAGAGAGAGTAAAAGATGAGAGAGAACGGCTTCTTAGCCACGTTCCTCTCCCGCACCACTTGACTCTGGATTTAAGAGCCGGTTGGTCAGCAAACTAACGGACAAATTACACCGTCTGATGGGGCTGGGAGACGGATAGCGGACTTCTTCCTGGCGGCCACATCTGCAGCCCCTGAGGGTTTCAGCACCCCACCTCACATTATTGACGGTGTTTTTTTTCTCGTAAGATACCCTGTCGAAACAATCAACCTCTATCAGCTGATAATCCTTATGACGACTTTTACATCATTAAGCCTCCAACACATGAATACGGCAACCCCTGCCGCCGAACAAACAACAGAATGCCACAGAATGCCACAGAATGGCCCTCCGCTGGATCGACGGATGTACGTTGGGACAGACAAGAAAGACACGGTCAACGTGGCCCATCAACGCCTCCGCTAAAGTTGTAGCTTCAGTCAGGCCGTGTAGAGTAAAAGCTGTTTACGCTAAGCAAATACGGGGACCCCTTCCCGTTTACTGGCGACGTAGCCAGTGCTTTACTGCCTACGGAGGCGTCAACGGTCAACGGAACCCTTCCCGTTTACTGGCGACGTAGCCAGTGCTTTACTGTTGCCAGGTCTCTTTCGAGTTAATAGGCGGGATTGATAAGATCATTGATATGTGGTGAGAGAGGGGCCAGTATCGCGCTACCGAATTGAAGTTAACAGTCTGCAGACGGTGTGGAGATTATGCTCGGGAGGGCAGACACCACAAAGGAGGAGGAGAAGGTGGGGGGGTGGGGAGGGGGGAAGGAGGAGGGAGAGGGAGAGGGAGAGCAGTCTGGGGGGTACTTGATGAAATGGATCGTCTGCAAGTCGAATGAGATGATCGTTCAGCGCGTGATCGGTGAGTACGACAGAGGAAAAGGGCATTGTCAGCAACCAAGCAAATGGAGGTCAACGTCAAAGAAGGGTTGCGGAATGGGATTTTTTTATTTTTTATTTTTTTTGACAAAACTCGGGTTTGCTAGAGGCGCTGGTAAGAGCAGAATATCTTCAGTTCACATAAATGATAAACCAATGGGAGGATGGGAGCAGCTAATACGCCAAGTTCCCGCGCTCGGACTGCTTTGTCACACCTGCATGTGAAAACGTGACACCGGCATGTGAAAAACAAAGACAAAGAGACAGACGGTGCGTGATGATGAGCAAAAGAAGTTTCCGTCATTTGGCAAAGATGGACACTTGATGATCAAGAAACAAATGCAATGATCTTCTCGTTCGGCTTGAAATGCCCCCAAACAAACAATTTCATTTTTTTGGTGGGTTGTCCACAGCATGTTCATGCTGCTGCCGATTTTTTTATTTTTTTTTTAACAATTCAATCTTTATATATATATCGTCATATATATATCGTCACCAACAGAACTGCCCGGTAAACTGTGACAAACTGTTTCGTCGGAGTTTCACCGACTCATCAGGAGGCTGAACCCTCAACAGTCTGCAGAATCCCCTCACTGATTACACTGTAAATGATAATCTACCTTAACCAAAATCTAAGTAGACTATCACTCACCCACACCAGATGGAAAACTCTACAGACTGTCGGTTCACACCCCATCACAAGCAACAACCAAGCAAAACATCCACGAAACAAAGAAAGGTCTGTCACAGCCAAAAAATACACTCCAGACACGCCACTGGCACTAGAGGCACAGCGTGGCCGCCTAGCAACGGCCCCGACCACTGCCGCTCGACCTGACCAGAAAAAAACGTAGCAGGAAGCTAGCGAAGTCGTAGCATAAATCGTCACAAACAGAACTGCCCGGTAAACCGTAGGCAGATAGAGAGAAGAGGACAACAAACGAGGGGCTGTGACAAACTGTTTCGTCGGAGTTTCACCGACTCATCAGGAGGCTGAACCCTCAACAGTCTGCAGAAT